TCGGGAGGGTGATGACGGCACGGGTGACTGGTTTTAGGGGAGGGGGAAGGTATTTTAAATAGATATGTTGTCTCCCCGGGGGGTGCTGGGCGGGGGAAGACATATGGTGTATAAATCGATACTTTGTCTCTATAGCAATGGGTGACTCATAGTCGGTGTGTCGGGGTGTCGGTATTTTTAGGTGGAGTGATTTAACTAAGGCAAATCGATATTTTTTTTTTAGTGCAGGGCCTAAGGCAGTATTCCGCAGCTTCCGACATCTACTTCAAGCAGTTATTTCAAGCAGACTCAGTGGTCGCATTTCATAATCCAGGTGTGCGGTGTTCAAACTCTTTGATGTGCATGAGGGATCATTACATGTATTGTTGGTTATTGATTTATGCTAATGTATTTCAGGGGCAGGCCAGCAGACAAATTGATATCTCTTTAGTATTATTGCTCGGGTGGGCAAACCAGTCACCCGTGCCGTCATCACCCTCCCAATCGATATTTACTAAGGATAAAGAGGGAGGGTTTAACCCTCCCGGAAAAAACCAATCACTTGTGCAGTCAGATGGCCGCCATCTTTTACTAAGGATAAAGAAGGCAATTTCTAAGGACCCGGATGTAAATACGCCTCAAATCATGCTAGCCCACTACTCATGAGCCCACAAACACGCAGGCATGATAAGGAAGGGGGACTGCTAATATTGTTACTCCACAGTGAGGTTAATAATATGAGGGCATGATAAGTCAGTGAGACCATCTGGTGGAAGGAATGGTATCAATGTATGCTGGCTGACCAGGCTGACCTATTCTATTACTGCCTAACCATCAGGCCATACACACCAAACAAGATTTAATAAATACACTAAAGGGTGACAAAAAAGGGCGGGGGGGGGGGGGGCTGTTGTTAATTTTAAATGTCTTCAGATTCAGAAAAGACTTTGAACAAGACTTCAGTGCAACAAAAAGAAAGAAGAAGAATTAATATACATCTTTTTGACACCTTTAGGAATTTGTGTTTATACAGATGATGTTAAATCCAGTGTGAACAGAAATTAATTGTGGATGTAAAAAAAAGAGATGAAAGGGGAAAGGCAGGAGGAGTAGTCAACCAGATGACAGCAGGTACTGTCAGTATGGAGACTCTTAGCTGGCTATGGAGAAGGCAGACAGAGCTAGTATGGGCTTGTTCTGAAAGCTGTTTGTGTAAGACCTTTACCCAGATGACCCAGATAGAGTTCTTCAGTTTACTTAGGGACCCAGATAGTGTTCTTCAGTTTACTTAGGGACCCAGATAGTGTTCTTCAGTTTACTTAGGGACCCAAATAGTGTTCTTCATTTCACTTAGGGACCCAGATAGTGTTCTTCAGTTTACTTAGGGACCCAGATAGTGTTCTTCAGTTTACTTAGGCATGGGTTTTTGAGTGTATTTAGCTTTAGTTCCAGATTTGTAATGGTTCTACACCTTTTACTGGCACATATCATCATACTCACTTTAATTTAACTTTCACTCTAAATGCCTACTTAAATATGTATTCCCAAACACAAGTTCAGTTTGTTTCTTGAACTTCTGAGTTGTATTACTCACACAACAATAATGGGTACTCTAAAACACAGGTGTAATAGCTACTCTTGTAGTCATATTATATCAACTGATGAGTGTTTTCTTGTTAGGCATGATGAAATATTTCTGATGTAAATATTGTCTTTGATTTTTGTTTTAGTGATTTATTCATTCATTTTGACCTGCTTGTTTCTGAATTGTTTCTTTCTGCCGTAATTGCTTTTTTTTCCAAATAATGACAATTTAGGTTTGAGACCTTAAGTCACCTCTATCTTAAGCTGAAAGAGTTATAGTCAAATCAAGAACAGAATGTAACAATGGGACAGAATTAAATTTACATCTGGAATAACATTGTAAGTAAAGTCACCTCTACAATAGAAACATTAACAGTGATACCTGGGACAGATTTAGATTTACATCTCGAATAGAAACACTGAAAGCAACAGACACAGGTAAAGTAACATCTTAGAAACATTGGCGGTAGTCACATCGACAATAGAGACACATTGACAATTTCACCTAGGACACCATTTATATACAAAAACAGAAATATTGAAATAAACATATGGGACAGAAGGAAATATACGTCTAGAATAGACACATTCAAAATTAACACATGGGATATACAGATAGTTAAATGCATCCCTGTTTGAGAGTATATTGGAAAAAAAAATATGGATCAAAGTTGGCCATATTAAAAATGGTGACTAGCTCAGTACAGGAAGCGTACACTATCGAATAATGTAAGTCGTCTAGCCTGCATCTCTGATGAGACTGTCAACATATGTTTGTATGACATCTGTCATGTCGTTCGTTTTCTAAATGTATGTTTATTGATACAAGAGCTTCTGGTTTGAATATTCTTGAAACAAATTCTCGCAACAATGTAACAAGATGAATTTCTGTCAGGGCGACACCTGACTTTACCTACTACAGATCCACCAACAATATTACAAGCAGGAAAATCAGCCAGGAAATCTGTACCTCCAGGTAAATTTTCATTTCATTTTTTGGATCTTATAGAGAATATTTTTCCCCATTGAAACATAAAAGCAGTAAAAAACCGAATTTTGGCAGACTGCACAGGAACTACTGGCTGATGTACTCATACCACAGTGTACAGCATCCAGAACAACATAAAAAACAGAAGATTGTCCGCATGTAGATTTGCATATAAATCAGTATTGGATAAAATAGAATCAGAATGAGAGAGTAACACAAATACTGAACAACTGCCCTCAGTCAAACCCAGTTCATACAGAAATTAGGCCATCACCATCTCTTGTCTCACTATTTATTCACAGAGTGGCATAATCAGCATACCATCATCATCATCAGGTGCCTTGCCGACTGGCGTGGGCGATCATGCCTCTCCATAATCTGCGATCTCCTGCAGCATGTATCAGTTCGTGTGCCGACACACCTCCATGCCATGCAACAAGACTGTCAAGCATCTTCTCTCGTTGTCTTCCTCTGTCCCTCCTTCCACAGATCTTTCCAGTGGTCACAACATGTTCTATTTTCCCTCTTCTCATAACATGGCTGAAAAATGATGACTGCCTCCTTCTGACGTCTGTGATAAGTTGTCTTCGGGCTCCTGCCTCTTTCAAAACCTCTTGGTTGCTCTTTTTGGCTGTCCAAGGTATTCTAAGCATTCTTCTGTAAAACCACATCTTTGAGGCCTCTAGAAATTGTTTGGCCTGCCTACCGATTGTCCAGGGTTCACAGCCATATGTTAAAACTGGATGTATGTAGCAAGCAAGAATTCTTTTTCTAACTCAATGACAATGATATATTGCACAAAATCAGCATACACACTTCTGTAAGTTGTGAACTCAATGAACCATTCATGTTGTTCCCAGACTAGCAACAAACAAACATATGTGGTTGGCTTAGTGCATGCAGGTGGACCAAAAAAACCAAATACAGATGTACCTGAAATGCCTCCTTGAACTATGGTATTGACCATGATAATAAAGTAAACATTACTATTGGCCGCTCTGCTCAGTACAATCAAATATCTACTGGAGCTACAACAACCAAGAGAGGCTACATGGATTTATGTCATGTGAAAACGAAAAGCAGGGAGAGAGAGAAAGAGAGAGAGAGAGAAGGCACCATCTGATCAAATGTGATCTTTTCCTGCACTCCAGAATGAGATTGCTCCAATAATCCACGTGGTCTAATAAGCCATCTGTGAACCAGGTCTAGAACCAACACATGACAATATGATTCTCTCTAGTAGCTAAAAACCAACAACATGTCTAGGAATCAAATTATCATAAAGAAACATGCAACCAGTATATTGTATACAAATCCTGACTGGTTAGCGCACTGGTTAGTTGCTTGCCTACCAACCCAAAGGCTTAAGTTTAAATTCCCATTGATAGACCTTTTTTTAAAGTATATTTGTGGATTCCATGTAAACCAAACTTAAAATAGGTACCAGCTGATATGGGAAATAAAGATGGCTGACAAAATATTGTCCACGCCACCATTTAAGTGCCAAAACATTTATAATTTATAAAAATGTGGGTCTAACACCTTACGTTTGTTTTAAACACATTTTTTACAAACTATCTATGAGTTTTTTTCATCACCAGGCTACAATTGTAAAGTTATTTGTTATAATGGCTTATATTGTGTTAACATGCAATAGAACATCATCATAAATGCACTTCGGCTGTAACTATAAGCTTGTGATGTTATTTATGAAGTATAACACTGACTGTTGTGTGACTTTTAATCATTTCATCTTTAACAAATGTCCTATACACAGAATACCAATACAGTATCCATTGTAACTGCTGATACTTTGTTATAATTTGGGAAAGGGTATACCCAGAGTGTTCTAAAATGACTGGCATTACCTGTAGGCCCTTGGAACAGTCTGAAAATGTCTGATTTTTTATGACAACAGTAATTTCAAAGACATTGTTCATTCTGAAATTAGTTAATTAGTCTTTCCTCTTAGGCCTAGAGCGGCACATGGGGCAGAGGTCATAACTCTCCATGAGAGTCTGTTCGTTGCCACCTACTTTAGGTCTTGGATGTTCTTTAGGCAAATATTAGAAAGAGGAAGTTGACATTTTTTGGTGTCACATAAAGGAACCGAAAACCTGGAATATATTCTTACAACTGGGGAAGAGGGGAAATCAGCAAGAAAAGATTGTTGACAGTCTTTCATCCTGGCATGGAAAACTATCTGCAAATAAACTGATATATTATACAGGAGATTTGGAAGAGCATAATTTCCCACTCCAGTTGACACATCACTGGATGACAGTGTGTGTGCGTGCTTGTGTGTGTGCTACGTCCGTGGGGGGAGGGAGTTGACAGAGAACAGAATGTTGTATCATGCTGCTATAGCTTCTGATGCTTTATTTAGTGTAGTAATTTTATGATGATTATACAATGTGGCTATATATGTATGTGTTGTTTGGTTTGCCAGGAACATTTTGGATGAATCATTTGGAACAAAAAACACCTGGCTCTGTCAAATTGAATCTGTCAGTACCTAGTGATGCAATGGTTGGGATCTATGGCAGGAGGGGTATGCCTCCTACTCATGTGCAGTTTGACTTCTTCAAAGTTATTGATGGCACTAGAGTTGGCATTCAGTCAAGAAGAGCTGTGGTGAGTTTTGTTTAGTTTTTTTTAAAATGGAGATTTATTCTAGTAATTCTATATGAATTTGGCACTTATCTCTTTTGTTAGAAATAGACTTGAAAATGTAGTAGCAGTTGTCAGACTTGATTTAAGGGTAAACAACTAGATGGCTTGGTCACATGGAGTGAGGAGACAGTAATATAGGCTTGGTTCTGGTGATCATGTGAGATAGTCAACCTTAAGTACCTACACTTATTGCTACAGCACATGATGATGATGAAAGGTCATAAGTAATTTGCATGTTTAAGTTGTATTACTTAACATTTATTAGTACATTATTTTATACAGTAGAATCAAAGCAGTATTATTATGAATAGTATTCTCCATATTTTCAGAGAGGCAATGACTATTTTGCCCGGGACACTGCCCTTGTTCAGTTCCTGGACAGAGGTGATTGGTTTATTGGCATATATAATGATCGAGAGACCTATCAGTCAGTTCTGCTAACAGCAGCCCCTCATGGTAAGTATTGCCATTTTCCTGATCACTGCTGAGGCTTTACTCTTCAGATATTTAAAGCATGTGTTTGTTTATTTCTGTCTTCATTTTCATAACTGCATTTGCTTCATTTCTAAGAAGACCATTTTGAGTTATCTACACATTATTTACTACAATTCAGTACAAATAATGATCTGACATGGTTTTTCATTGCTACATTATGTCTTTTACAAGGTTTGGCATCCAGTTTACTTCACTTATCTTATTTGTTTTTGAATGTTCTGTTTTAATTTGATGAATTGTAGCAACCTGTATGTTTTCTAAAACACCAATATGTAACTGGAGGTCTGTATGATTTGTTTGTATGTGGATTTTACAGACATGCTTATGTTGGAACCAATTTTCACACTGTTTCAACAGTCTGGATCTGGGTTGTTGTTAATGGAACTCAGAATCAAATGTACCTGCATCAGTTCTGGGGCCACCTTTTAAAAGAACAAAGAATAGAGCCACTGCCTCTCTTTATCTCCAACTTTCTGTAAACAGTTCAATGACACAACATGAGTGATCTAGTATATGTGCTATTGTGATACCATCTTAGCTTGCTAACTATAAGTGTACTGTATGTGATGACTGTCTCTGAACATTTCATATGTATTATTGATGTTCTTTGTAAGATAATGGCAGAAACATGGTGGTTTTAACTACACTATTGAAAAGGTATTGCCTGTGCACTGAAGCCTGAAGAAACTGATAAACGGAATCCCACCATCACCACCTCTCCAGCCAAGCAAGACAATTCAATTAACACAACAAGGCATGAGATTGAAAGGCTGGAACACAAGCTCGCTGGATCAATAATAACAATAACCCAATCAAATTGACTCCTGTTAGTATTTGAGAAGTAAAAACAACTCCAGTTTCAAAAATGATGTTGTACCATCATCATTAAGTTGCTTGCTGACTAGTTGAGCAACTTTGAAAAACTACCACTATACATCAACTCATGCTGATATCAAGCCATGGTAGTAAAGTGGCTAGGGACTGTATTCCAACCCTTAGGTCTTGGGTTCAAATCCATACCAGATACATTTGAGAGAAAAATGATCTTGGCTACCTAGTCAACCCAGCTTGAAATGGGTGCTAGAAAAAAGCCTGTGAAGTAAAGGCAGCCAGCATGATGTTGACCACATTACCACTGAGTTCCAGTCGTTCTATACAAATATGAGTCTAGCATAATATGCCCAATGTGGGACCAGTGTGAAAAGGGTCCTAAACCGAGTGTAAGTACATGTGGTGAGATCAGTCCATGCCAATAATGAAAGCCTGTCCCAGTATCTACTGCCTAACCACCCTGGTCTGTGTTATACAGGTGTAGCAAAGTTGCAGTAATAGAATGTGTCATGACATGGGCACTTTTGTGTTGTCATTGTCATGAAGTCATGTCTGCAGTGGTGACTCATCATCATGTAGCAGGTCCTTTGCAGAACATCGCTCCTATCATGGTCTGCCTGGAATGGGGGGAAAAAACCAGTCACTCGCTAGCTCTGCCGCCTCCTGTACTTTGATATTCAAGGAGTCATTTGTATCATGTGTCCATCTTCCTGTTGGTCAGCCCATGCCCCTCCTTCCTTGTACCATGCCTTCTGCTATTATTTTTTTTTCCAAATCGGCCATGGCGGTTGATATGACCAAAATATTTCAGCTTCTCAAACAAGAGGCTGTTTATTATTAGCCAATATTCCTTGAAGTCCATATCTTTTAAATATCAGTATTTATTCTCTTCTTTGTCTATGATATTCTGAGAATTTTTCTGTAGCATTTCAGCTCAAAAGTCCCTATTTTTTTATTTAATGACTGGGAGGTAATCCACAGCTCACATCCATATGTTACTACATGGAAGATGCATGCTCTCAAAATTTTCATTTTCATTTCCTTGCTAACCTTGACTATAGACTTTTAATGTTGTTTAAGGTAATGGTAACTAAGAGAACAATAAAACATACATAAATGCAGCGTTGGAATACCGGCCCTGTCATCTTGTTCTTCTTAAACATTGTGGTTTGGAGATGAAGACTAAACACTGAGACAATGCCTAATTGTGTTCACTATATATATCGCAGAAATAATATATGAATGTTAAAGAAAATATATTGGCAGCAAACAAATTAATAACCATTTGCGAGCCTAAAGAGGAGAGTATGACCAAGTTGTATACTATCACCTGAATTGTTTTATTTATTATACAATGAATATATAATGAGAATTGTGATGGACATGTCAAGAAATTGTGACTGGTGGTCATGACATGAACAAACTAAATTGTGCTGATGACACTATCTAAATATCCACAGATCAGAGAGAAACTACAGGGACTGATAGAAACGAACGAACAAACAAACTTTATTTTCAAAAGGTTAGGAATTGGGCAAGCAGGCCCATCTAACATTCTGCCCTTCCACTCCGCTCCTTTCATACAATTTTTCATTTGTACCTCATTTCATTGTTATTAATAATAATAACAATAATATTAATAATAATAATAAAAAGAGGAATGCAAAATTTAAAATGTTAGAAATATAGAAAAAAAAATTTACAATTTCTAAGTCTGGAATGTGCTCTAATTTATACTGACATTACTTGAACGTTTTAAAGAGTATAATAATTAGCCTATTCCAAAAATAATGTAAGTCTTACAGGTTGCATAATATAAACATCAGCAAAACGAAATAAATATTAGTTACAAACATTGGAATGCATTGGACTGGCATCTTCAGTTTTAAACAATAATAACCTTCAGTTTTTTAAACCCCCCCCCCCCCCCCCCCACCCCCCACCCCCCCCCCCCCCCAAAAAAAAAAGAAAATTTATATATGTAGTCTGTAGTGAGATAATATGTAGACATTTTTAGAATGGGCCTTTGCTTGAAAATGCCTCAGCTTAAATAATGAATATGGGATGACAGAAGTAATGGTGATATAAAAAAAGAAGAGTGCAAACATATATAATAAAAGTCAAAGGCATTATTTTAAGAGTAAATGAGTAAATTTTACCCCATCAGGACATCACACAGAGTGATAATCACCCGGTGACACAAAGTGCCACCATGCAGATGAGGATCACCCGTGGAGAGGTCCCGGAAACCCCATTTGACCAATGGGTTATATTAGGGTCCCCGGAAATAGCCAGGGTGGAGCCTCAAAATAATGAAAAATTGCATCCCACGAGGGGATGATTTATACTATTTTAGAAGAGTACAGCAATTTAAATATCTAGGCATCCAATAAAAGATGTGTCACAGAGATAAGAAAAAAAAAAAATAAGATGGGCTTAAAGTGCATTTTATGCAATAAATTTGTGTCACTTAGGGTTAAAATAGAATTCTCGCCTGCTCCATGTAACCAGTTTATATGGTTGTGAATCCTAAACAGTAAACAAGCTGAACAATTTCTTGATGCTTTGGAAATGTGGTTTTATGGAACAATGCTTAGAGAGCAACCAAGATGTTTTGAAAAAGGTGAGGGCTCGAATACAAGTTATCCCTAACATCAAAAAGATAGTCATCTTTTTGGGGTCAAATTATAAGAAGAAGGAAACTTGAACATGTTGTGACCACTGGAAAGATTTATGGAAAGAGAAACAAAGAAATACAGTGTTGAGAAGATTCTTGATAGCCCTTTGTTGTGACATGGAGAGATAAATGCTGATGAAGATGGCAGATAATGGAGAGGCATGATTGCCCACGTCAGTTGGCAAAGCACTTGATGATGATGAAAAATGGAGATTCTCATAGAATTAATTATTTCCTGTCTTTTTTTTTTACATGGTTAACCACTGTTTCAATTTTCAATTTATCTATATACTATTTAAACTACTGAAAGTAAAAAGTGCCTAGAAAAACCACAACAGCCCAAAAATGCTAGAGTTAGTTCTGCAATGTCCTATAAAGGATATGCAACTAACTTTAACTATTTACTATTATCTGCCTTGGGATGGATTATTTAGTCAACTGATCTTAGCCTATATTTCAACCTGGCCTTAAATGGGTACTAGGAAATGAAGTGGGAAGTAAAGTTGTTTTTTAAAATACAAAGTCTGTGATGTCTGAACAGATTTTGTTTTGTTGCTTGTTCCTCTAACTGTCCAGATTTTGCAGTTACATGCCACAACACTTTCTGTATATTATCACGATTGATTTGTGGTGGTTGGGGGGGGGGGGGGGGGGTGGTAAATCCTAAATGGCAGCTATAAGTTACATGTTATCCATGGTTATATACTTGAATTTCTACACGTGAGTCAAATTAAAAATAATATACCAAACATACATAAATAGATGTGCTCCTAAAGATATGTCTGCCTTCTTTAGCTGATCATTAGATTTCTGATGCTAAAGTATTACTAATATAATATCTGTTAAATGCCTATGATGTCGATACTTCAACGTCTCGTACAAATAAAGAACATTCTTTTGAGTTTCAGTGACCATTTTTAGATTTAAAAGCAACCCCCACTCCCCCATTCCACACACGCGCGCGCGCACACACACACAGAAAGAGAAAGGGTGGGGGGGGGGGAGATTAAAGCACGTGAAAGCGTTATAAGAAATTGTCTAACAAATGATTGTGTGTAAGTGTTCAGTGTGTGGAGATGATTGTAGGAAAATTAACGCGCGAGAGGTTATCATACAACGAGTTGTCTGTTGTCAGAAAGTGAATAGCTTAAAAATAAGGAAGCTTGTGTGGCGGACATGAAAGATATAAATGACTTCAAGACTGTGCATGCATATATATATATATATATATATATATATATATATATATATATATATATATATATATATATATATATATGCATGCAGTCTTGAAGTCATTTATATGTTTCATGTCCACCACATAAGCTTCCTTGTTTTTAAGCTATTATATATATATTAAACAAACAAAAATATATTGATCGGCATTCATAGAAAGAAGTAGAAAGAAAGACTTTAATTATTTTTAGTGGTAGAGTTCATGTTTGTCCAAATT